TACATGGATTTTCTGTTAGTAAATAAAGATGGGCATGACAGTAAATTTTGCTGCACCCCATATTTTCCTCCCAACACATTCTTCTTCAATTACTCTACGAAAACAGTACAATCCCATCTGCAGTTCGCAAAATTTCTTCAAATTTTCTTCTTGGAGTAAATTCAAGAATCTCATTAGTGTAATTAATTGTGTTGGGTATTTTAGTGATGACCAAATAACCCCTAGGCGATGAAAAACAGTGGCCCATTAACTTCACAGGCTATGAGCCAAGGATTGAAGAATATCATTTAATCCACAATACCACAAAGAGTTGGAACCCAATTGTGTTGGGTGTTTTAAGGAAATCAGCACATTAGGGTTTGGTGCTCAATACTTGGTTTTGGAAGATAAACTTGAAGAACAAATTGGATGCACTTGGTATCCTTATCCACTGTATCTCTATCGTGATAACTAATTTCATATCTTGAGGAGTCTATCTTTGTGAGAAACTCTTGGAAATTCGTTTTACTTCCTACCTATAAAATGGAGTCTCTGGCCTCGGTTTTCAACACACCAAAATTACTGTGCTTTGTGCTCTCTTCTGGAAAAAGTTGCAAACCGGTTCTCTGCCTTTGTGTTTTCTGCCTTTGTGTGCAGTTTTCTTCAGCTTTAGTGTGCCTCTGAGATTCTACTGTTATCTCCAACCTTTGGTGTACCCATTTGTGGTGTTGTGGATTGAATCTCTGAGCCTAATAGAAAGGGGATTATTTGTTCATTTTAATTTCCATTCTTCATTTATTGATTTCATTATAGTTTTGTGTCAATCCACTTACTAACTTGGTTAATTCTTCTATTTGTAGGATAGGTTATCACTTATAGTTGGTATCAAAGCCTGGGTGTGCGAAATCCGGCCAGAAATCGATGGAAAAAGGCTGAAAATCTCGAAGTTCTTCAAATCACCGGAGCCTGCAAACTCAAATTCCGGCCAAACCACTCACCTGCCGGAAAATCTGAAGCCATACCCGGACTCAGCAGGCTCAAGCGCACCTCCCGGTGGTGCGCGTGGTGGTGACGAGCCGACGATTGACGGCGCGTGGGTGGCAGACGGAGGCGCGTGGAGGCTCATCTCCAGAAGCTCTCTTCAGGCAATTTGCTTATTTTAATGTCCTGAACGTACTAATATAATTTGTTTCATGTTTCAGATTATATATAAAAGGTTGGACGATTTGCCCTAGGTGGGTCGACTGTTGCAGACTGCTATATATTTACTGAATTACTTTAGGCCAAGATTGCGGTCCTAAAGCAGTAAATTCCCATCTCTCCTATTTACGGACTTCAGAAGTGGTCCGCTCTGGTAAATTGGATGAAACCTTTATATTATCGCACTAGCAAATCATCATGTGGGGCGATAATTAGGATTGGGGGTTACCATTACTTGGTAACCATTGCTTGCTGCTAGAATCTAGGATTACGTGCCATTATTTAATTTCTAAGTGAAATTATTTACTTGTCGTCTTTAGATTTATTTGTTGAACGTTGTTGTGTTATATCATATTATTTAGAACTGTACCTAGACTCCTATTCTAGTTTCTTCCCTTGACCTGAGAACTTGATTCTCACGGAATCTTGGGGTTCTAGAATAGCGTATTATTGTGAAACCATAGGAATCTTGTTACTTTGTGTAAACTATGTGATCTGTGACTTTCACATACCTAAGTTTGTGATCTGTGCATTTTTTTGGTAAGATATCGACACATCACTTTGAGTTGGGTGTCTTTAATTGTAAATGAGATTTTTCAATTTGGTAACAAAAAATGAAAGGTATTCTTATTCAACAAAAGGTTTCTAAAGCTATTGATGGTACTTTTCCTGCAAACTTAACTGCTGACGAAAACGAAAATTTGGATGAATTGGCTTATACTTCTATAATTTTACATTTGTCTGATGCTGTATTAAGAAAAGTTGGTAAATTAAAAATCGCTCAAGAACTTTGGGAAAAATTGGAGGAACTTTATGTGTCAAAGTCTACTGCAAACAAACTTTTTCTACTTGAAAGCTTTTTTAGTTTCAAAATTGATTCTTCAAAAGATCTCGATGACAATTTGGATGTTTTCAATAAACTTGTGCAATACATCACTAATTGTGGTGAAAAAGTATCCGAAGAATATAAGGCTATCATTTTGTTGAATGTTATTCCCGACACTTATAGAGATGTTAAGAACGCTATTAAATATGGGAGAGATACTTTAACACCTGAAATTGTCATAGACTCGTTAAGAAGCAAAGATATGGAAATACGAGCTGAGAGAGTCGAGAGAAAAAATGGTGAGGTCTATATGATAAGAGGTAGGTCTCAGTCTAGGACTCGTGATAACCAAAGTGGATATGCATTTGGTAGTAAAAAGAAAAATAGAAGTCTATCTAGGCCAAAGGGTAAAGGTAACGGTAGGAAATGTTATAGGTACGGTAAAAATGGACATTTCATTAAAGACTGTTATGCTGAGAAAAACAAACAAAAGGAAAAGGTTCTTGATGAGGCAAATGTTGTTATTTCTTCTGATGAATGTTGTGAAATTTATGTGTTATTGAACTCTGAACCTACTGAAGTAAATCTGACAATGAAATCACACTTGCATGAATGAATACTTGATTCTGGTGCATCATTCCATGTTTCATCACATAAAGCTTGGTTTGAAAATTTGCAAGAGTCTGAAAGTGGTCATGTTATTTTATGCAATAATGATGCATATAAAATTGTTGGAATTGGTGATATCACGTTAAAATTTGACACTGGTTATGTGCTTAAATTACATGGAGTCAGATATATTCCTGAAATGGCTCGGAATCTTATTTTGGTAGGGGAATTAGAAACGATGGTTTTACCGGTAAAATTGGAAACAACATACTAAAGATGATTAAAGGTGCTCTTGTCACATTTAAAGGTACTAAAAGAAACGGTATTTATGTGACTTATACTGAGATTATTAAAGGTGCATCTTCCTCTATAAATTTGACCAACATAGATACATACACAAGTGACACATTAGATTAGCTCACATAAGTATTAAAGGACTTAAACTACTAAATGATAAAGGTGTATTTGGAAAAGACTGTGTGTCTAATATGCTTTTTTGTGATCATTATGTGTTTGGTAAACATCATAAGTTATCTTTCTCCTTTGGCGTGCACAAAACTACTCAAGTTTTGGAATATATTCATACTGATTTATGGGGGCCCGCTACTAACCCTACAATGGGTGGTAATAGATATTTCATGTCCATAATTGATGATTATTTACGTAGAGTGTGGGTTTATCTGTTAAAGGATAAAACTGAAACTTTTAAACTTTTTAAATTATGGAAATTGCAAGTTGAAACTCAAACTGGCAAAAAGATAAAATATCTAAAAACTGATAATGGCCTAAAATTCTGTAATAAAGATTTTGATGATATGTGTGAACAATGTGGAATTACTAGACATAGAACTGTTCCTTACACACCTCAACAGAACGGGGTGGCTGAACGTATGAATCGTACTTTACTTGAAAAAGTGAGATGTATGATGTTGAGTTCTGGTGTTCCTAAATCTTTTTGGGGTGAAGTTGTTATAACTGCGTGTTATCTGATTAATATGACACCTTCTATTGCATTAAATGGTGATACTCCGCATGAAAAATGGTATGGTAAATGTGCTGACTATACTATGTTAAAAACTTTTGAATGTGCTACTTTCTCTCATCAAAATGAGGGAAAACTAGAACCTAGAGCTAAGAAATATGTTTTCTTAGGATACCCTGAGGGAGTTAAAGGGTATAGGCTTTGGGATAGAAGTCAACCTGGAGTTAAGATCATCGTAAGTCGTGATGTTACATTTAATGAGTCTGATATGCCATGTCTAAAATTAGAGAATGACACTTTGAGAGAAAAACAGCAAGAAAACACTAGTGATGAATCCTGAGTAGATTTAAGTGTTCAAACCCCTACCACCTCAATTGAGGTGGAGCATCAAAATCCCGAATTAGAAGATAGTCAAAATGAAACTATTGAGAGAGATGAGGTTATAGAGGAATATCAAGAAGAGCAAAATCCTCTGTCTGATTACCAGTTAGCTAGAGACAGAGTTAGGAGAACATATAGGATGCCTCAAAGGTTAGAGTCTGATTTTGAACTTGCTTATGCTAGTTATGAAGAACTAGTTGATAGGGAACCAAACAAATATGAAGAAGCCTTGAGGAGTGAACAATCTGAGGATTGGTGAAAGCGATGAAAGAAGAAATGAATTCCCTCGATAAAAATCAAACATGGGAGTTAGTCCCAAGACCAAAAGACAAGTCTACTGTTGGGTGTAAATGGATTTTTAAAATTAAGGAGGGAATCACGAAAGGCGAGGCTTTAAGGTTTAAGGCTAGACTTGTGGCTAAAGGTTACACGCAAAAGGAAGGAATAGATTATAATGAAATCTTTTCTCCAATTGTTAAGTATACCACTATTAGGATTATACTTGCATTAGTTGCACATTTTAATTGGGAATTTGAACAACTTGATGTTAAAATTGCTTTTCTGCATGGTGAACTTGATGAAAAGATTTTTATGGATCAACCTAAGGGTTTTGAGAATAAACAAAAACCTGATCATGTGTGTTTTCTTAAACGTTCTTTGTATGGCCTAAAACAATCTCCTAGACAATGGTACAAACGTTTTGATTCGTTTGTTCAAACAATTGGTTTTAAATTAGTGAATTTGATCATTGCTTATACTATCAAGGTGATGCTAATAATAATAACTGTGTGTTTTTGTTGCTATACGTGGATGATATGCTTTTGATTGGTCCCAACTTGAAATTATTAAATGATATTAAGACTATGAATAATGAACTTGATATGAAACACCTAGGTAATGCTAAAAGAATCTTAGGCATGGAAATTCAAAGAGATAGGTCAAATTCATTATTATGTTTGCATCAGGCTCCATACATTATGAAAATTCTGAAAAAGTTTGGCATGAATGAATTAGTAAATAAAGATGGGCATGGCAGTAAATTTTGCTGCACCCCATACTTACCTCCCAACACATTCTTCTTCAATAACTCTACGAAAACAGTACAATCCCATCTGCAGTTCGCAAAATTTGTTCAAAATTTCTTCTTGGAGTAAATTCAAGAATCCCATTAGTGTAATTAATTGGTCTAATGCCTCTACTGCTTCTGTGTCAACTGAAAAAAAGGTATTGAGTTTTGGTTCACTCTTAAAATTTGTTATTTTCATATTTTATGCAGCTTTAGACAGATTGAATTGCTACTTTAATCTTTATGCATGTTAAATTGCTCGTTTAAGGTTCAATCACACTCTTCGATGCATATTAAAAAATCAGTGTTGTTAAGAGAAGTAGTGCAAGTTTTATATAATTACTATTCTTACCATAACAGGAGGAGTTGTTACCATTGGGCGTGAGTGAGATAAATGAAAAGTGCAAAAAATGGGTGTGGAAGGGTTACACCATTAACTATTTTGTTTACCCAGAAGGCCATAATGATTCTTCGAATCTGCCTCTTCTGCTAATTCACGGTTTTGGCAGCCAGCAATGGACATTACTGATCCATCTTCATTGGATATTTTAACCCTCTCATTCAAGTGTTTTGGTACTATGAGTGTCAATGATCCCGCTTATATTTGATCTTCAATTCTAATTTTTAAGGCAAAGCTACAAACTTTGCGCTTCCTTGATTTATTGATTTTCTGATTGCTTTTTTGGTAGTCGAAATCAAAATTTTGCTAGACTGATTAACATTATTTCCAAATGCATTATGTTCATATAACACAGTTCTATTCCAAAAATCGTCTTTTTCCACTTTAAAAATCTATTACAAGTCTTGCTTTTGAAAATCATTAGTTCCTACTCTAAAAAAATGTGTTTTTTGTTAAGATTTTATCCATGTCTTTCTTTTTTTGAGGCCATCCAATGTTAATACAGGTACAGCTTTGTTAAAAAGAACATCGTTGTACACTAGGATTCCACTGTAGGACTTAATTTGTGAATCTAAACTAAAACAAATTCTTTTAAGCTTTGCCATCCTTCATTAATTGTTGCCTTGTCCAGTTGATTTAATTTAGCAACTTCTCCACCAATGTGAAATATGATTCTTTTAAGGAAGTTACCTAATGCTTCTAGTAAGAGTGAAAAAATTGTGACATATTGGTGTTTTAACCAATAGCTGAATCCTACTTTTCTGCCTTTGAGGCCATTTTAGGAATATTCCAACTCTGGCTCAAAGTTATACAGTTTACGCCATTGACCTCCTTGGTTTTGGTGCTTCAGATAAGCCAGCAGGCTTTGCATATTCCATGGAAGTATGAGCTGAGGTAAATAAATTATATCAACCATTTTCTTCATAAAGGGTTTCTACTCAACTAGTTATTCACTATACGAAGCCTGTTGTTATTCAATATTATACTGTGGACAGATGATATTGGATTTCTTAGACGAAATTGTTCAAAGGCCAGCGATACTAATGGGGAACTCTGTTGGAAGTCTTGCTTGCGTAATTGCTGCTGCAGGTATGTATTAATCTGCTACCAGCAGGGGAACGTAAAACATTTAGAGTGTGTTTGGTAAGCTATATTGGACAGAACTCGACTCTTAGTGCTACCAATCCTCCCTATCAGATATGCCTTTACTGACAACTACTTAGCTCTAATTGATGTTGGCTCGGTTGTGCTTTGTACCTTTCCATTCCTAACAGAGTCTACTAGGACCCTAATTCGAGGGCCAGTGCTGTTAAATTGTGCCCGTGGCATGAACAACAAGGCGATTGTTGATGATTGGAGGATAAATCGACCCTTGCCTTTGCTTTGGTTTTTCGACTTCTTATTGAAGCGAAAAGGGATTGCATCATATTTGTTTGATCGCGTTAGACAAAGGTACTCCTTAAGTATGTTTTTGTTGTTATCACATAAGAGGATCGTGCTTGCTTGGCCAAGGTTTTAAGTGCTTATAAGTAGGGAGTCCCAAAGAATGTATGGTTAAATAGTAAAAATTATGTTACTACAAAAAGTGTGGATAAAAAAAAAAACTTATCATCTTATAAGCAATTATAACTTCGTCGAACATGAACAAATGTGAAGATAACATCTTGTCGTCCGTCTACGGCAAAAAGGATAATGTCGATGAGGATCTTGTGGACGTACGACTAAATTCTGAATGAATTTTAACCTATACAGTTTCTCTATTTGATACTCCATTTGTTTTCCTTATCTTTAAATGCAGATTATTAAGAAACCAGCAGAAGATGAAGGGGCTCTTGATGCTTTTGTTCCATTGTAACCGGCCCACCCAGGCCAAATCCAGTGCAATTAATTCCAAAAATCAACTTACCCGTCCTCGTGTTATGGGGTGATCAAGATACATTTACACCGATTGATGGACATGTTGGTAAATACTTCTCGTCATTACCTTCTCGACTGCCAAATGTAAACCTCTTTTTGTTGGAAGGCGTTGGACATTGCCCTCATGTTGACAGGCCAGACTTAGTCCACGAAAAGTTGCTTCCTTGGCTGGCCAATCTCCCTGCTGCTTAAAACTTTCGCTCGTTTCAGTTGTTAATTGTGATGGAAAGTAAATATACACAACATACTTCCAATTGATTTTGCAATTGTATTTATATTCTGTTATAGAAATGTATATTACATCCCTCTGTCTTGTTTGCTTTGGAATGAGAATTGGAAGTATTTAAGCAATAGCCACAGGGAACATTTACCCTTTTCAGTTTGTTACATTACAGTCCCTAAAAATTCTTTTAATGTTTCTGATGCTACCAAAAATTGTACCTGGCTGTTTCCGATCTTGACGACTGTTGATGAGTACGAACGTGATCTTCTGGTACCTGAAATAAAGGCGGTGAGGTATGCCCTCGTCGCCCCTCCGATGCTTAAGTCAGATAGGGAATTTTATGCATAAGGCTGTATGCTGTAAAATAATGTTGAATGTACCTAAATATTGAATTGGGAGTCCATATTTATAGAGCTAGGTGGTAGAGTCCTAGTCGGACTATGTAGTTCATTCCTGATAGAACTGTAATTGATCTAGCGCCCTTATCTCTAAGAGTCCTACCAGAATTAGTTTTTAAGATAGTCCTTAATGGGGTAGGACTCATCTTCCTGTCAGTCGCGACCTTTTAGGACAGAGGATCATAACTCGAAGACTTCTTAGTAAACGTCATGGGAATGGAATGCCCCGAGGACTATGAAATACCTCGAGGACCTGCAACGACATGAGCTGTGATAGGAGTCCTCGAGGACTAAGGAACATCTCGAGGACTACTATTGTTCTCGAGGGCTAAACACCTCGAGGACTTCTACTCCAATTGTATGAAAGGAAGGCTGAGTGGAGTCCTCGAGGAAAGCTTGGGTCCGGGGGCTTCGAGAGAACCCTCGACGCTGGCAGCATAAGGATAACCCTCGTTCCTGTTAGGCCTCGGTCAACCAGAATCTGCCATATCACTGGCCCCCGTGCACGCGTTCTAAGATCTCGAGGATCTTTGAGGAGGTGCACCGCAATCGTTAGGAATGAGGATGGTCGATATCACCATTGGCAATGGATCGTTGGATTAGTGTCACGTGTCATCTTGGATGGTCATAAATGGTGACCCTTGGCCTTTCACTTTCCTTCACTATAAATACCCTTCTTTTACCCTTCATTTTTCACTTTCACTGCTGTAAATCTTCTCCCTGCAAGCTCGTGCTCGCTCCAAAATCTCCTAGGAATCTTAAGGTAAGCCTCGAGACTTCTTAAGTTATTTCATTAGCTTAAACTTGGCCTTGTTCAAATAATGTCGAGTAGTGAGGGTAGCTCAAGTAGGTCGAGTGGTGGTGAGGATTTAGAGAATACGATGATCTCCATGGCCGTTGACTCTCAAGGCTGATTTAGATGGCCCCTACACCCCTTCTTCACTGCTCTCTTGGTCGGGCATTCCATGTGCCCGGGGCAGCTCTTGCCCAACGCCTGGAGGATGATAGTGTACATTTTTATAGCATGTAGGTATCTAGGGATCAAGCCTATGGTCGACCTTGCTAGGCTAGTCTTCGAGCTCAAGAAACACCCAAGATATACGTGCTTTGGTTATCTCTCGACCATATGAGGATTTAGGGTCCCCAAGATAGCTAGTTCCCTTAAGGGTTGGAGAGAGGGTTGGTTTTATGTAGTACCTCCAGACCCCGATCTTCCTTTTTGGCCCGAATAGGTCATCCCCGACGCCGAGAAGTTTTGTGAGGCCCAGGAGTACCCCGACGATGTAAAGATGAATAGGTAGATGCTGTCGAGCTCGAGCCCCTCTTCTCGAACATGAAAGACATCGGGAAGGAGGTGATAGATTTGGCTGATGTTAGAGGTCTCGAGGGTAGAACTCATTCTCCTTGCTTTTTGAACTTTGTTGGATCTTGACCATATGCTCGTTTTAATATGTTTTCTTATTTTTCCATTTTCAGGGATGGCATTCGATCCTCGAGATTGCGAAACTTCATGAGCACAAGGCCTCAAGCTCCTCCCCAGACCCCCACGCAGGCCAAGAAAAAGGGGAAGAAGAGACCTCGCGATTCTGCAGTTGATCCCGCATTGAGGGGCCCTGGGGAACCATCTCGACCCCAGCCTCAAGTTGTCACCTCGAGCCATCCAGCTCCTTCCCCTGTACCTCCCCCTCCTCGACCTTCATGAACCCCTCCTCAGGTAGTGGACCTCGAGGATGAGCCTCTCCCTCACATAGCCAGATTTGATGATGACTTCGAGAGGTGCCATCTCGTGCCAGACATCGTGGCCAAGTATAATGACGGGGTCAAGCTCAATGAGGGCTTGAAGCAGCTCGAGATCTTCACGATGAAGGTAACTATCCTTGATTCCTTTGCATGTTACCTTTTACATGCTCGATACATTTACTTACCTTTTTCTATGCAGACTTTAAGCATGGCTCGAGGGCTCACTCTCCAGGGGATCGAGGAGTCATCGAGGGTTGTATTGATGGAGGAGTCTTCTACCGCGAAGGACCGGCGAATTGTTGAGCTTGAGGCCAAACTCGATCTTTGGAAGAAAGAGCACGACGAGGCTAGGCGCGAGGCCTTGAGGGCAAAAGATGAGGTCGGTGTGGCGAGGGATGAGGCCGAGGAATTAAAGCTCGAACTTCTCCAGAAGAACAAGGAGGTCGAGGCCAAAGTTAATGAGGCCCGGGAACGAGCTTTTGTGGAGGCCAAGGAGCGAGCTTGGGAAGAGTTCAAAACCTCTGAAGAGTGTGACAAGATCAAGGCTGAGTATGCCTCGGGGGCCTACCTGTACGCGTTTAAAGAGGCTCGAGCCTTTCTCCGTTCTAGGCTTCCCGGCGTTACGCCAGAGGACTTAAAAACGGTGCCTGGCATTGCTGGTACCCTCGAGCTTTCTGAGGAAGAGGATGCTGGTACTGGCGAAGATACTGGAGACGACGATCTGGACCTCGAGGACGATGACGTGCAGATCGATATCACCAACCTCGATCCTCCTCTTGGGCATATATAGGGATAGAAACCCCCATCCCCTTCCTCTGTATCCCCAAAATTTTTTGTACTTTGATTTTTGATGTATTTTACTCGACCATATGAATGACAATGAACGAGCTTTTGACCCACTTTTGTCAAGTGTTTATCTCGATAAATGTTCACGAATTTATTTTGAGTATCGACCTCAAGGCCATAATGAGATTCTCAAATGTGCCAAGTATTCTAATCGAGGATAGGTCGAGATGAATCATGTCCAGAGGCATTATCTCTTGAAAGGACATAATAAGATCAATGCTCGAGCTTTTCGCACAGTATAACTCGAGCCCTTCCTTTCCCGAGGAGTGATTTTATTTGGACACAATAAGGTCAATGTTCGAGCCCTTCCTTCCCCGAGGAGTGATTCTCCAGGACAGCATAACGTCAATGCTCGAGCCCTTCGAGGACATTACTCGGGGACAAATCTCGAGGAGTTGTTTTCATGGACACAATAAGGTCACTGCTCGAGCCCTTCCTTTCCCGAGGAGTGATTTCTCTAGGACAGCATAAGGTTATCACTCGAGCGTTTCGAGGTAATTACTCGAGCCCTTGACATCCCGAAGAGTGATTTCTCTTGGAACATAACAAAGTCAATGCTCAAGTCCTTCCTGATACTTATCATACCCGGGGCAAGGCTGAAGGGGTGCTTGCACGGGGCAAGGCTTTAAGAGGTGCTTGCACGGGGCAAGGTTTTAGAGGTGCTTGCGCGGGGCAAGGCTTGAGATGTGCTTGCACGGGGCAAGGCTTTAAGAGGTGCTTGCTTGGGGCAAGGCTTTAAGAGGTGCTTGCACGGGGCAAGGCTTAAGGGGTGCTTGCACGGGGCAATGCTTAAAGAGGTGCTTGCACGTGGCAAGGCTTAAGGGGTGCTTGTACGGGGCAAGGCTTTAAGATGTGCTTGCACGGGACAAGGCTTTAGAGGTGCTTGCACGGGGCAAGGCTTGAGATGTGCTTGCACGGGACAAGGCTTTAAAGGTGCTTGCTCGGGACAAGGCTTTAAGAGGTGCTTGCATGGGGTAAGGCTTAAGGGGTGTTTGCACGGGGCAAGGCTTAAAGAGGTGCTTGCACGTGGCAAGGCTTAAGGAGTGCTTGCACAGGGCAAGGCTTGAGATGTGGTTGCATGGGGTAAGACTTTAGAGGTGCTTGCGCGGGGCAAGGCTTGAGATGTGCTTGCACGGGGCAAGGCTTTAAGAGGTGCTTGCACGGGGCAAGGCTTAAGGGGTGCTTGCACGGGGTAAGGCTTAAGAAGTTTTATGTTCTCAAGTTAAACTATTACTGGAGTGTTTTTCTTGACGACCCTATAAAAAGGGTTAACTCTGGCATGTAGGCCGACCAAATAAAATAACTCAAGTACGGAGGCCGACCAACAATAATTAAAACAAAACAAAAAAGATAACTTAGGCACGCAGGCCAACAAACAGGAAATAACAACTTAGGCTCGTAGGCCGACCTATCAATAAAGTAAACTTAGGCACACAGGACAACTATTGAAGTAGATAACTTGGCACAGGGGTCGTCAAATAGATTAAAAAATTGGTCGAGACAATCACTTGTAATAAATCTTCAAGTTTTCAGCGTTCCATAGCCTCAGGAATGGTCTTCCCGATGAGTCCTTTAAGCTGTAGGGCCCTCCACGTATATTACGTTCGACTTTGAAAGGCCCTTCCCAGACGGATCAGAGCTTTCCCGGGGCGTAGCCAGCGGCTTCAACTCTTCTTAACACTAGGTCACCTACTCTGAACTTCCGAGGCCTGACCTTTTTATTGAAGTGTCTTGCTGTCATGTTTTGGTAAGAGGCTGCTCTTACAGCGGCATTTTCCCTTACTTCCTCGAGGAGGTCGAGATG